TCTGTAGCAAAATAAGCCAAATTGTGTATATGCCTGAGTGTGTACATACATACTGGAAAGACTCTGATCTCTCCCATCAAAGTCTTCTTTCTAAGGTTTCTCAAACAGGTAAATCTACCCTGAGTTTTTTTACCATTCTCACACAGCTAACAAGGCAGAAGGCAGTCAGAAAGATATCTTTCAAAACAGTTTTAAAGGTGACATTCCTTGTTTATATCATAAAGGCAAATTAAACTTTATGCTGTGGTTAAGACTGATTGAAAAACCCCAAACATCAACCGCAGTCTAAAATAAAAGCTTTCTACAAGTGAAATGGCAGATCTCGATCTCTCCTTTCAAAAAATTTGTGATTGTGTCAGCATCAAAGCAACTGACAGCAGAAACAGGCCACTGCTTTTGCTGATGGTATTAGTCCTTCAGCAATAGCATTTCACATTGGTAACTTAATCTGCCTTGTAAGAATAAATCCAGAAAGATCACATCTGTCTCAAAAGCAATGTCATACTGCAAACCAGCAGGAATCACCTGCTGTTCTCTGGCAAATATTTCACATAAAGACAGAGGAGCATCCTTTTCTCCTCAGCGCTACCCACTGTCACCAAATGATTCAGACACATCATTCCCACCTCTAAGTCTCCTTGGAAAGACTTCACCATTGATTCAGTAACAAACTCCAGTCAGCTTCCAGTTACTGTGTTTCACTATTTAGGTACCTGGAGTAAGATTTTCTTGCTGATAAGAACAGGTAGGCTGAAAGCCAAGTGAAACTTGGAATGCACCTGATTTTAACTGGAAATATCCCTTCTGGACTGCCATCTTGTCCATCCTACCCTTCTAGTTTGTTTATTCAACCAATGCTTCTTCTCCACAGAAAAACACTGAGATGCCTTGAGCTAGAACTATCTTACAGTGGTACAAACAGGTATTTTTCAATATGTATTTTGTAATGACTAAATAATGACTAATGGCAGAAACAATACTCCCTGTCTGAACCACTGCTGAACAGTTTATCTATGTGGGTATTTAAAGATTAAGAATTTCCATCAGTTTAAAGCTGCAAGGAGGCTGTGCTTTCCACCAATACAAAAGCTTTTTCCCCCCCTGCAGCCACATGTGATCATTCTTACTCCTGCTGCCTGAGTAAGAATTCCAGTTATAGGTTAAGTTGAATGACAAGCGGAATAATTGGAGGAGACTGCATGTAACTCATGGAGCCACTGGTGCTGAGATATCTTCTGAAAGCCTGAAGAGGTTCATAGGTGATAACTGAGCAAGATTAGACAAGATGAACCAGAAGGAAGACAGAAGAAAATAGTTCTGAGATCCTCTTTTCTACATACTGCCGATGCTATTTCAGCATAGTTTAGCTTTTTACATAAGATCACAATCTTCAGGCAAGAACATGTCAACACATAGCTACACATCTGAAGGAAAAAATCACTGTTAAGTCAGACACCACTGGATTAAAAAAAATACTAGAAAAAGGACTGACAAAGAAAATCTTTAATGCTGCTATCATGAAAGATAGATGGTGAATCTTGGATAAGCTGGAAATATTATACAAATCATGATATTTCTCTAGGTTTGGTTCATGGCACTTCAATGCCCTGATTCAATTCTCCATACAGTTCTGCCAGCCAATTTTATTTTAAAGGTGGTGAGAAGTCCAAAAATACCATTGTCTCCTGTGGCAGCCTTAAAAAAATAAAATGTACCAGGGAGAGGATGATCAGAGCAAACATGTAGTGTGACTTCCTCGACTTTCAGCTGCTTTCAATTCATAGGACTTCTTGAATTTGATGCAGCTTGTTTAGGAACCCTCCAGAGATCTCTCGTCCACCATCTTGTGTAACCTGTCCTTGAGCCCCCAAACTGTTCATCCATGACTGCCTTAAGCAAGGAGTTCCAGAGCCCTACTAGTAATTCTTTTAAAGGTTATTTCACTGCCTTGCCCAGTTTTAGTAGTTTTCCTTGGGAATGTACTTGTAAACTCCCTACGTCGCAAAAGGGGCTGCTGATTTCTGCTCTCCTTGCTAACAAACACAGTTTGTTTCACATCCACGTGCTGTCAAGAAGACCCTGTGTTATTTGAAGCTTGACTTCACTTTAACATCCACTCTTAACCAGAAATACTATTGTATTACAGCTTTCAGTTGAACCCTGCTTATTTTTGAACCACATGTTCTAAGTATCACTTTCTTGCTGTTGAATTTAATTTCATTACTGTTAGACACATCCAGCTTCTGGTTAGTCCACTGCTATAAATCAGTTCCCAATCTCAAAACCAAACTCCCTAAAAATATCTGAGTACCAAACAACTCGGCATAACAAACACCAGTATGTTTAGTATGTTTTTCCCACAGACTGGCAGACTGTATTTGGTGTTTTCCTAACAATTTTCTGATACACAGCTATCCTGGAATGTACCTATCGAGGTCAGTTTCCTGGGAAAAAAAAAAGATTCTCCAAGAAACTGACACTTATAACTTCAGTTACCAGCGACAGTTTGTCCACAGGCATCAATTTCAGAGTTAGTCATTTATGCTTATTATTTACTAAAATTTACAGGAGGGTGGTAAATGTAATTTGTTTTGGCTAATCAAGATCTCAAATGTAGTCATTGTGAAGTTTTATTTTTATAAATTACCATTTCAGAAAGCTTTCATGATTAAAAGATTGGTTTTTTCTCTTTTTAACTTTGTTTACTGATGGACAAAGCTATGCAGGTTGAAAGATAATAGCAGGAGACTGGAGGAGAGCAGCTTGGGCCTTGCCAAATTCCCACCTATGCAAGTCTGCCTTACTGAGATGAAAAAAAGCCATAGCATCCCCCAACTCATCAAAAATACATATCAACGTGTCTATGTCGTAATTTTAACATATAAGATTAAAAAAATGCATTTAAATAAAGCCTATCTTTAACACAATTTACAAAAAGAATGAGTCGATTTTGTATCATAGTAATCCACATTGTACTGAGAATCTCTGTATCCATCTAGAAGAGATTCTGGAGTGTCCAGCTTAAAATACATGGTATTACTGAGGAAAGAGAAACCCTTGTGCTGTGTGTGTCACAAGTCACCTGGGCTGATTAGCCTAAAAAGCATAGAATTTCTTTGGCTTCAGGGAATAAATTATTTGCAATTTAAGGGTTATTCCTGATCTATACTTGTTCAACCACCTCATCAAAGTAAATCCTTATCAGCCATTTCCTCTAGCTGGGAAGCCAAGCCTCCCTGCAGGGACAGCCTTGCCAACATTGCCCACACTTCTTCAATCAATGCCATTAAAATGCACTCTGCAGAGCAGGACCTCAGCTCAGCACAAAGTGCTTGTGCAAGAAGTCATTTTACTGAGAACTTCGTGACATCAGTTCCCCATGTGACCAGGGTTAAGCACTGCCACCCTGAGAAGACTTTCTTCCTTCCATTACTTTAGGATATTATCAGCAGAAGTGCTGCAGCTGGATTCTCCTTTTAGGATACAGAAGAGCTGCTGATCAAAGTCCAGATCTCTGTAAATCCAGCTACTTTTGATCAAGGAGGAAACAACACTCTCAGAATGTCTTCCAAAATGCACCTATTTGATAGCAGTTTAAGAGTAAGCTGGAGTACGTGTCCCAAAGCTATAAAGAAATGCAAAGACCTGTCTTGCCTAGCTAAACTTCAGCTTTGGGATAACTATTTTAATGCTGTTTGAATTTTACTGTAACATACATGTGTTCAGGTATCCAGAGATTTACATAAGCTATTTTTTATTGCTCCAATTGAAACACAATACAGGATTTTAAACCTAATTATCGCAAGCACCATTAGTATTTTGATCTCCTTAGTGTTCCTGTTGGCATGGAACTTAACCCTGCCTGAAAGCTTCTAATTAAGAAGATGGTGCTGCTGTTTACACTTCCAAATAGTGGCTAAAAGAGAACACCACAACCATTGCTCTCACTGGCTACCTTTTGTTCCTTCAACTCTTCTCCATTTCGATACACTAACACTTTCTAACAATTTCAGGCAAGCAGTGTTCATCTGAAAATTTATGGCATGATGGTTTTTTCATATAGAGAGCCCGTGCCAACACTTCTTACTAACTGGTTTATTCCAAATAACCAATCCCTCTTAAAGGATGATCAGGTCCAAAAGTAATGGATTTTACTCCAATGAGCTTTTACACGAACAGTTCCATTAAACAGGATTATTCATTAGTATAACAATACATTAAATGAGATCATCATGTTAATTTACTATTCATTTTTTCCTGTATTCGTATACAGGAAATTATTACTTCAGTTTAAAAACACGAGGTGTTATAGTGGTCAAAAGTATCAAATATGGAAGTCTTCTAAACCTGAAACACTTCTACTGTTTCAACAGCTTTACAGTTCAAAGACAATACTGGGCAGTTTTTGGAGCGTAAACATTGGTATTTCTATAACAAAAAGTACTGTCCACGAGGAAGAATTAAACTTTGACTTTAAATCAATTTTTCTACCCTAAGTTGTATATTCACATAAATCCTTGGCATTTAGGTAGCCGATTATTACTAATGTTCATTTGTTAGGCAATCACCTCTTCAGCTTGGAGGCATTTAATTCAAATTAGGCCTGTGTTATGTGATCATTATACACATGAGAAAACATTTGGCAAATTTCACTCAGTATCCCCAAACAACGTAAATATTTACTGCCTCACACTAACCCGAGGAAGAGTTTTGTATATCCGGCTTCCTCAAAGACAAAATTTTTGAAGTTTCAGAGAATACGCAAAGTGGTTCTCAATTATAAAAATGGAACGAGACCTTACATCCAACTTCACTTTTAATACCTTCACAGCAAAAAATTCTGCTCTGCCTCAAACTGCAGTTCAAGTGCCCGCAGACACTAAGAACAAACCTGCTAAAAAAACGAAGTACAGACCCTGCAAGTAGAACCAAATCCCCGGAGAAGTGGTTAACATCTTCACACGGTGTACCAGATGGAGAACCAGATCGACAATCCTTACCTTAATTTGTTGTCTGGCCTGGACACTAACGCTCTGCTGCTACAGCACAAAGTTCCCATGCAGTTTTGCTTTCTTTAACCGAAGATAAACAGCTCGACCTCCTCCAGCTCAAAGTTAAAGGCTGAGGTTGCCTACGTTTCATTGTGTGCCAAAGTACATCTGACAGAACGCGACGTGAACAGCAGGCTCTGGGTGACGAAAGCAGAGTCTCGGTGTCATTAAAGCGAAATCACCACAGCGAGCACAACCAACACCCTCAGTACAAACCTGAGCAGCTACACTGGATACTCCACCATTATTATTATTATTATTTTCCACCGTTACCATCCTTTTTTTCGCTGTTGTCATTGAACAACCACACACCGGGTACTTTTGCTCCCTCCCCTTTCCGGAGACGCAGAACCTCGACACACACAACCTCAAGCCGCCAGGACCCTCGGGGCTGGCAGCAGCCGCTCCTGCAGGTGCGGGTCGGCCCAACACGCACCCAATTTAAAGGACGCAGGGCCGGAACCGGAGGGACATCCAGCGGGCCGGCACATCCAGCGGGCCGGCACATCCAGCGGGCCGGCACAGCCAGCGGGCCGGGGGCGAGCGCTGCGGCCGCGGGGACGCGCAAGGAGGGGAGGCGCAGGGGGGGACGGCCAGGGGGATAACGCGCAAGGGGGGCCGCCCCGCCCTTCCCCGGCCCCCCGCGGCCGCCGCTGCCGCAGCATCCCTGACCCAGCCGCGACCCCCGCACCGCAGCAGGGGCAGCGGCCGCGCCCCGCTGGCCAACAACCCCCGGCGAGCGGCCAGCCCCGCACTCACCGCCACTCACCGCCGCCTCCTCGGGCAGGGCCGCTCCGCGCCCCCGGTGCCGCCGGCCCCGCCCGGCCCGGCCCGGCCCGCGCAGGGAGGGGCGCGGAGAGGCGGGCACACGCAGCCGCCCCTCGGCCCGCCCTGACGTCAGCGCGGCCGCCCCGCCCTGCCCTGCCCTGCTCTGCCCTGCCCTGCCCGCGGCGGGGCCGCCCGCTCCCAACGCCCTGAGCCCCTCAGCCCGCCCGGCCCCGGGTGCCAGCCAGCTCGCTACGGCGATCGCCGAGCCCCCCGGCACTGCCGAGGGCAAGCGAGCGGCCCTGCGGGCGTGCCGGCCCTGCGGCATCGTCGAGTCGTCAGAGCCGGAGCGCAGACCTTTAAGGTCGTCGAGCCCAAGCGCCGGCCCAGAGCTGCGGCTGGGACCCCCAAACGGCTGAGCACGGCACCCAGCGCCGGGTCCGGGCACCGTGCTGGTCACAGCGAGGTGGTGGGTTTGAACCCCTCACGGGCCGTTCATTCATTTAAGGAGCTGGACTCGATGATTTTTCCAACTCAGAATATTCTGAGAAACCTCCGGGGATGGTGACTCCGCCACCTCCCTGGGCAACTATTCCAGTGCCCGACCACCGAAACAGTGGTGGTTTTTTTTTTTTCTAATATGTAACTTTAATCTCCCCTGTCTCAGCTTAAGGCCATTTCCTCTTGTCACTGCAGGCACAGCGGAAGAGACCGGCCGGCCCCCACCTCACTGCAGCCTCCTTTCAGGTGGTTGTGAAGAGTGATGAGGTCCCTCCTGGGCCTCCTCTTCTTGAGACTAAACAACCCCACTCCCTCAGCCCTTTCTCACAAGATATGATTTTAAACCTTTCATGTGCTTTGTTGCCCTTTACTGGACTCGCTCCAGGACCTCGATGTCCTTTTAAAGTGAGGGGCCCAAAGCTGAACTCAGCACTCGAGGTGCAGCCTCAGCAATGCCAAGCACAGGGGGATGATCACTGCCCTGGTCCTGCTGCCCACACTACCACAGAGAGCACTCGCAGGAGAAAGGCCTCACAGATGACTCAGCTACATGAAAATACTGATGGACTCTTGTAGTCAACCACGGGAGACCAGGCTTTCTCCATGGTGATGCTCACAGAATGAGCTGAGAGTTTAATTTCTTCAAATTTTCTGCCTGTGCTAGGAATTAAAGGCACTGACAGAAGGTTCAGGAAGTTCCATGCTGGATCAGGGTGGTTTCACTGATTCACTATTTCCACCCCACTACTCTGCCTTGGGCCTTGTGTTTCTGCATCTCCCGCAGTTTGGGACCTTCAAGTTTGTGTTGTCACAGCATTTCAGCATCCGTATCGCTGTGCTTCAACTTCAGGGATTCAAAGTTTCTTTTCATTCGAAAGTTTTTCTCTCAAAAATTTTTCCAAGTTTTTACCTGCCTGCTTCTCCAGGCCTCCCAAAAGGGAGGGAGACGAGCAGTATCTTCAAGCTACATTTGTGCAGGAAAAAAACATTGATGTAATTGATAAGCACTGTTCACCACAGCCTCTTCACTGGAAGTTGGGCAGGTGTCAGCACAGGCACTGCAAGTGCCTCCTCACCTTTCTAGACACAGGGCACGAAGACTCCAGTACATTTGCCCCTTAGGCAGCAGAAGGACCTTTAAGAAAAAACAATGAACAAGAACTGAAGCTTTTATGTCTTTTTGCCTAAACTTAAATGTACCAGCCACATTAATGCATTTATTCTTAGAACAGTCTGAAGCATAATGACTCCCCTGTGGTACAGGAAGGAGAAAAAAAAAAAAAAAAAAGGCAACCAGAGAGATTAAATCTCTTGCTCAAAGCTGAAGAGACAGCAAAGCCAGGAAGTGAACTCAGATTTCCTCAGTCAAGCATCAGTGCTTTAACCACACAATCATCCTTTCTTGCAGTTGTTCTCAGCTTCTGAGCGTCAACTGCATTAGCATAGATTTGATTTCTCCCTACTTTGTTCATCAAAACGACTTCACTGTTCCCATCGAAATTTCCTCCAACTAACTTTCTTCTCTATTTCCTTCCCAAAAGTAAAAGAAATTATATTACAGACTCACTTAGGGGGTGAAATGACATTACAGACTCACTAGGAGAGTCTTAAATTTCCCGCTGCCTGTCTGTAGGCACTGGCAGGTGTTTCAGTGCCAACACTGGAACATCAGCTCACAAAGCAACTGAGCAGCTTCTGTGGTGCATCTCTGAGGCAGGCACCCAAAGGCACAGTGGAGGAGATCAAAGAACAAGGATCAGGGAGCTGGGAACAGTTGTAACCAGCAAAAAAAGAGGCACATAAGCTGTGTGTGCTGACCTGGAAGTGGTGGTATAACTCATACTTTTATTATCTAGAAATGATTATGAAACAGAACTCTGAAAGAAAAGTACAGACATAAAAGAAGAAAACACCCAGAGATATTTTAGGGCGGATTTGAGAACCTCCCCTATCTGTTTAGACATGTAACAGATTTTCACATGTTTATATAGGCTCTTTAGATTAAAATCCAGTCTTGAAGAAGAATTCATAGTTTTTGAAAATTAACTTCAAAAAGGGAAGCATTACACACACAACTCCAGCTTCTGACTCAGAAGACGGTGTTAACCCTCCTACTGGCAGACTGCAGGCTGAGCTCTAGCTATGATCAAGTGCAGCATCTTTTCTTGCCAGTTTAATATTTGATGTCTTCAGCTTGAGGTCTTCACCTTGCATTGATTTTATATTAAATTGATTTAAATGGGTTTTATATTACTCTGGGAGATGGACTAGAAGCTTACTATCCCCTTCACTCACTGGCATTGTGCTTCTTCCCAAACCCAGAGACAGAGCAGTGGGTAACACCGACCCCCAGCCACACCAGCTGCACTGCTGGCTGTGCAGTCAGTGATGTTCACACAAATATTCTCCCAGCCCCAGCAGTTCACAGGCCAGGGACTCCACTCCAGTGGAAAAGGAAAGGATTGTTCAAATTTGACCGCGTAACAGAGTTCTGTACTGTACAAAATCTGAACTTGGTATTTCTCATCCCCTGCATTGCAATGAAGCTGAGTTAGTCTGCCTGAGTTAAGATCATCTGCAAACAAGGACAGCTTTCTTCCTTACATCAAGGCATAAAAATCATCTTTGCCATGGTGCCCATAGAAAAATCCTTGCTTTGTAGCTCATATGCTGTGACTGCTGCAAACTAACCTGTTCACAATAATTTAACTTTCACTTTGTGCATCCACTTTCTCTTACTGCATTCCAACTGTTCTCCTTATACTCTGATTTTACATTATCTGACACGGGAACTGTGTTTCCTCTGTTTGCATTCTTTCTAGTTCAAGAGGGCTAAGCAGCCAGGTGACACCACCTCTTTACTATTATTAAAGTAATAATTTATCCATTGTGGACATTTTACTTTTACAAAATACTGTATCATGGGTCGTTACTTACTCACAAACATTCAAAACCAGAAAAACAAAGGTTGGAATGAGAGAGAATATACTCCTTGGGGGTCCAGGTGGAATTTGTTTAAATATATAACAGTACATGAAGTTGGTTAGGGGTTGAAATTGTTCATTTCAAAATGCCTCATGATTCTGTAAAATTTATTTATCGACAGGTATCAAAAATGAACTGTCAGCTTCCTTCTTAATCTTGTCTCTACCAATAACTCTTTCATTAAGGAATACATCCTTTATATTTTCCAAGTTTTATTTTGACACAAAGGACTCACTGTCCCCAGACTTACCTATTTAGTTTTCAACTTCTTGTACCTTTTAAACTACTCATGTAACTTCATTTTTGTACTACCTTAAAATTATGTACTAAAACTAATATTTCAGGTTGATGAACTTGTTTGCTGAGATAATAAAAAAGGAAAACAATGGGCTAATGTCACGTGCAGAAATACTCACGTGTGTTCAGACGTGTGTGTAGGTAGTATTTACATGCATGGTGTCCACAGGTAACTAAACTTTGTACCATTCTGCAATAAATAATTGTATAAGAATAAAATAATTAATAGGAAATTCTGTTTGGTGCAAGTTGGGGTCTTTTTAGTGGTTCCCCATCACTACATCTTCTTTTGTGTACATATGGGAAAACACAGAGATGAGCTCAAACTCATTTGGCTGAAATACACATTCATCTTGTCACATTTAAGACTAAGTCCTTTATTTTTCTTAGCCTTGAAAAATAATCCAAATTAGGTACTTGAACATTTTATATCTTTTCAGGCCTTAGTGCTATTTACCACTTGTTAAATATTTAGGTAATATTTAAAGAGGGTACTATTTAAATGAAGAATTGTTCATTGCCAGTTGACAGCTGCTTTGTTATTTAAATAATTTGCTCAGATATCTACCTTGGATGTGCAAAGGCAGTGTTGCTGTATCTATGGGCTTGGTGAGTGAATGATGAACTGAGCCTCCTTATCCTTCTCAAGCTGGGAAAAACAGGGAATTTACACCGGCCTAAACTGCTTTTGTTCTTCAATCTGCCGTTGAAACCTTAGGCAATCTTTACACCCTGCTGCCACTGTGCCCTTCCAGGGGCTGACCACGAGTGATGTTTCAAAACACTACATTAGACTAAGTAATTTAGACCTACTTAGATCTAAATTATGTAAACGGAGTAGTTAAACTATTTTAGAAGTCTAGTTAAAGCTGCTTCTAAAATACAGTCATTTTTCTCTCTCCTTGTCTTCAGTGGCCACATTCCAACCGTACACAGCACCTTTACAAACACAGAAATGCTTTTCTAGGCAGTGAGTAAAATCATGTTGCACATTTCTAACATCCAAATGCTCTTTCATTTATTTTTAAAGAAGATAATGCTTCTTGGTCTCTAACTGTTAAAACAAATTAGTGCATTATATATTCCATGTAAGTCTGATAAGGTTTCTTCTTTATGTGTCATTGCAACTTAATTTGCATTCACATAGGATGAAGGGCCAAAGGAATACAAATACCTAGCATTTCCATTATTCTGTGGGATTTTTCAGGATTCTGAAATGTAAGTAAAACCTCTTGTTTCAGCTTGATTTACAGCTATGGAAATTGTTTCCTTCTGTATAATTAGAAAATATTCTAAATCAGGCCAGATACAAATTT